ATAGAAGAAAGTTAGTTAAGTAGGAAAATGACTTAGAGAGTAGAGAAAACAACAGAAAAGTCTTCAAAACAGAAGAAATAATATATAAGAAAGGAACATAAAATTTTGGGATAAAGTTGTGGAGTATTTTTTTCAGCTCTGGTACACAGGGGTTACAAACAGATCAGTTAGAAGATAAGTCAATAGAAAGAATGTGGGAGGGTGTGACAGCTATTTAAACTAGCAGTGGAAAGGAAAGTGGTTTTTTAGTGGAACTTTGGAGAAAAACAGATACGACTTAGTGATATATTAGGATATAATATGAGAGGGCAAGGAAGTGTGACTTCTCAGTACTTGTCATAATCATAAAGATGAATAGTGGTATCAGTCACTGAGATAATCACTAGAGGAGACCTAGTTACTTTCCTTGGTAGGGAAGGTATGAGGAAGAGATCTGAGTTTATTTGGAGTATACTCAGTTTGAGGTAACTTTGGTCTTCGTTTAATGTACTTTAATACTCTACTTTGTGCGAAGAAAAATTTCAGTTTCTTTAAATATTAAGTAGGCACTTAAGAGATAGGAGTCTGAAGCTCAGTGAAGAAGTTTAAGCATAAATTTGCAAGTAATTAGCATATAGATGGTACAGAGGTACAATGGAAGCTTTTAACATGAATGGTCTTCACGAAACGCACTACTGGGAGAAAAAGAGAGAAAGCTGATGCTCTAGAAAAAGAGATCAAGAAGCAAGAGCCAGATAGAGCAGAATAAGATCAATACAGGTTGAGTGGCAAAATGCAAGCGAAGTGTTTTGAAAAGGAAATAATTCACCAGACAATTAAGAAACCTAAAAATGTTTCTAAATTAAACTCCAGAAGGTCCTGAGTAACTAAAGCAAGTGTTCTTTTGATGGAATGGTTGGAGACAGCTGAATGGGGTAAAGGGGTAAAAAGAGAAGTCAGAACGTAAAGAGAACAAAGGTCAACCACTCTAAAGAAATGTCCTTGTGAAGAAGGAACTGATGTGGTAGTTTTGGAGGTTATGTATACAGATAATATGACAACATGCTTCATTGCCAGTTGAAAGGTTTTATTATAAAGCAGGTAGTTGAGAAACTTTAGAATTTGTTCCTTGGGTGCAATGAGAATAAAAAATGTGAATGAGGTTTAGAGCATTGGCATGAGAGTTATTAGAATAATGAAGCATGGAACAAAGGCTGAATATGGAGGGGAAACAAGATGAGGTCAAGGAATGGAGACATGGAAATATGGAAAAGTGGAGATTCACATGAGATCAAAGAATATACAGATAGTAGCAATTCACAAGTGAGCTGAGAGGGTTGGTAGAGAGAGCACTACGACTACCAGTGAAGGGGGTGGCAGGAGCACCATTGGGGGGAACAAGATCTGGCTTATGGTGTAGGATTACATGGATGAGAAAGGGGAGGGGGAAATCTTTAGAGGTAAAGAGATTAAAGAACAGAGAGGGTGAATGTTGGAAAGGTCATCTCTGGGGAACCTGGGGTCACCCAGAATATCGGCAATAACTAGGGTGGAGAGAATACTGAAGCTAGATGCTGACATGTTACAGGGACTGTTGGGTGGTGTAGTATAAGGACACATGCCTCAAATGTCTTCAAGATGAGTGAGTACAGATCTGGACCTTATAACAAGGAACAAACAGAATATTAAGCACAGCAAACAAAGCTGAAGTGCATGGTGAGCGAGAGAATAGTCAACACTGGGTAGCGCTACAGGTAAAGTAATTCTCAAGGAAGGGGACGTAACTGCAGTTAGGGCATGAAACACTCCTAAGGAAATATTGATACTGCTTAGGAGCATAGTTCCAGCAGGTAGAGTAGGCAGTATTATAAAGTTTAGGTGAAGGGCAATAAAGTTACTGAATCCACTTTATTGAGATGAAATTGCAGTAGATGATGGATAAGATGGTGAGAGTATGGGGTTTTAAGAAAAGGAGGACACTATGATTCTCAGTGCAGACTTTTTTCTTTTTTGGTAGCGTGCATACAATTTAAGTAGAGGTGACCATCTATTTACATTCCGTTCCATTCTGTGACTCCACATCCTACAGGGCCAGCAGGCTCACATCCTACCCACTCCCTTAACTTCGACAAAATATCAACTATGGTGATCAGGCTTTGATTTTTGTTTTTCTTTCTCAAGCTAACTGAGGTGAGGATAATTAATCAACATGGTAGCAATTCTTGCCCACTGCCTATAAGCGTATTTCCTCTTTCATTA